ATATATATATATAATATATATATATATATATATATGTGCATGGATGCATGGATGCATGCAGATGCACGATTAATGTTACATTTAATGGAGGTAGATGATAAGATAAAGGAGACAGTAAGAAGAGAGAGAAGAATAAGAAAGGGATTAATAAAAGAAGAAGAAGAAGAAGAAGAAGAAGAAAAAGAAGAAAAAAGAGGAGAAAAAGAAAAAGAAGAAGATAATAATATAATACGTTATTCTTTATTATGTAATATAGAGAGTATAAATATACAGGAGACACTTATCTCTCTTGGGTATAAAAGGGATGAATATAGCGAAGGTTTATCCCCTGAGGGGACAATACATGATTCTTCTTCTTCTTTCTTCTGGATGTCTGCATCTATACCTATAAAAGGAGACAATAATAAACAATCTCTTCCTGCTAAGGCTTTTGTTGAATCCTTATTACTTAGTAAGATAATTCCTCCTCCTGTTGCTGCTCCTGCTGTTACTGCTGCTGCTGCTGCTGCTGTTGTTGTTGTTGTTGTTGTTGTTGTGCTGCTGCTGCTGCTGTTTTTGCTGTTTTGCTGCTACTTGTTGGGTATCTGTTGCATGCATATCACCTACTGTTGCTGCTGTTGCTGCTGTTGCTGCTGCTGCTGTTGCTGCTGCTGCTGCTGCTGCTGCAGGGGACGAGGCCTTATTCTTAGAGGAGGATATAGCAGAGATAGCTGATGCAGTACAAGGGCATGGAGATATAGATAAGACACTAAGAAGGATACAAAGATATAGCGGGGTGTCTCCTCGTTGTCCCCAACTGTCTCCTGTTGATTGGGCAAATCTACAGGCAGCAGCAACAAAAGAAGTTGCTGAATTAAGGGGACTGTCTCCTTCTGCTGCTGCTGAATATATTGCTGCTGCTGCTGCTGCTGAGGAAGAAGGTAAGATATCTCTCCCTATTATTGATACTACTAGTACTAGTAGTAAGGAGACACCAGAGCAGCAACTGCAGCAACTGCAGCAGCTAAAACTGCAGCAAGAATTGCAGCAACAGAAGCTGCTGCTGCAGAAGGAAGAAGAAGAGGAGACAGAAAAGGAGACAATGCGTCTTAGACAAAAGATAAGAAATGTTGAGCTGCAGCACGAGCTGCAGCTGCAGGCACAGCTAAGGAAGCAAACACAGCAGCAAGAGCAGCAACTGCATGCATTAGAGCAGCAACTGCAGCAGATGTATGATAAGATAGAAGCAGCACGTGATGAATTGCATGCAGTACAAGCAGCAACAGCAGCAGCAACAGCAGCAAAAGTAGAAGCAGAGACTATAGGTATAGCAGCAAAAAAAATAAATAAACAAAGACGTGCTGCTGCACTTAATGTGCTGCTGCCTATGGGGACAGCTAGCGATCTATGGGCAAAAAGAGCAACAGAAGATCCAGCAGCAAGAAAGATGCGGCTGTATGTACAGCCTTTCTTATTTGTTGCTGCTGCTGTCCTCCTTTCTGTGTTATTCTTTGAGGCACACAAGGCAGCAAAAGCAGCACCAGCAAGACGTACAAGACGTCCTTCTTATAAGGAGAGTGGTGTAGATACAGGTGCTACTGCTGCTGCTGGTAGCAGCAGCAGCAGCAATGGTAAGGAGGCTGTCTCTGTTGAACATGTTGCTGCAGCAGCAGCAGCAGCAGCAGCAGATATGAATGATTTTGGCAGGTCTGCAAGGGGGTTCGGTAGATCATCAAGGCATTACTAAATTATTTTCTTGATGTTATTTGTCCCCTCAAGGAGGCGATCCCAACAACCCCATACACGATCCCAACAACCCCACACACGATCCCAACGATCCCACATACGATCTCAACAACCCCACATACGATCCCAACGATCCCTATAGTAGACGATCCCAGGAGGAGACTGTCGATCCCAGTAGGAGACAATCATCCCCTTGGGGGGGGGGGGGGGGGGGGGGGGGGGGGGGGGGGGGGGG